CCGCCGGAGTAGCCCCGCCGGCAGCAGCGGAGCGGAGCAGCCGCAGCCCCGCCAGGTAATGCGGGCTCCTCGCCGGGGAGAGGCGAGGCGGGACGGGGCATCCCCGGCACAGGAGGGACTTTGCCCCGCGATGTAGGGGCAGCGATTCCCCGCGGCGGCTGCTGGAGCCTCCGAGTGCCGTGGGCGCGGCGGGAAGGGGCCGGGGGCAACAGGCAACAGGTGCTGCTGCCACCAGCATCGCTGCATCGGGCCGCTCGGCTCGGGCTCTGCGAGCTCCGGGGGGGCAGGGCTCTGCCTGCAGCGGGGCCGGGAGCGCGGGACAGCCACCGCCACCCCCCCGCTGCCTGCTTCGGCCCGGGCCGGCAGCTGCTCCGCATCGCATCGCATCGCATCGTATCGCTTCTCGGAGCCTGGAGGCGCTCGGGGCGGGGCAGCTCCCGGGAGCCTCCCCCGGGCTCTGGGCTCGCTCGGGTCCGGCCGGCTCCGCCTTGGGCTCCAGCCCTCGCTCCGCTTGACACGAGCTGGGAAAGGCCGCCGCTGCGTCCCTTTGGCGCCTCCTGGTGCGCGGTGCCTGGCACCCCTCCCTCACTGCCGGCTCGGAGGCGAGGGTCGGAGCCAGGACGGCTGCACTGGGCATGGGGGGAGCTGTCGGGTGGCAGCCGGGCAGGACTGCGCTCAGGGCTATTCGGGACAGTCCCCTCGTGGCAGCGATATGAAGTTTGGTCTGGCCCAAGAAGTATTTTTCCCCATAAACTCATCCTGATCTCATCTTCATTTAGGGCTCAGTACTTGGTGCAGGATATTATTTTGCATATTGATTAGTAAATAGACAACGCTGATGAAATTCTCTTTCCTTAGAATATGTAACTTGTGAATAAGAAGGTGTTATTGGGTATAGATTCACTTTGAAAAAGGAACCGGGAATAAGAAACCAACTTGAGCCTCATTGCTTGCAGTGGGGCTGCCACTGACCCTGGACTGGCAGGGAGAGACGTTTTGAGGTCTCTCTCTTGTGGGGCAGGGAGTGAGTTAAGACTCAGCACATCCTAGCAGTTATTTAAAGTAGGTGCTCTTCTGTGTGCCTGCCTGTTGCTGCTCCCTCCACCCTCTGTTTGTGCGTTCACATTGTAGACTGCCCAGCAGAGGGATTGGATTGTCTCTCCCGTATCCCACTTGCACAACCAGGCCACAGTTCTGGTGTGGGTCTTTGGGCACCAATGTGACATTATCAGGTGTTGTTAGGAAGGAATATTATTTAGGGAGGGAGGGGAAGTGTTTGGCAAGAGGGTGGGTGGCCATGCAAGGATGGCAGAATGGAGCGGGGCTGGAAGGAGAGGAGCAAGCAAGGCATCACAGCTCACAAAGTCTGGGGAAATCCTCCAATCACCAGGGCATGGAGGGGCCTGCCTGACATAGGGCAGTGGCAGTAGCTGAGTTTCCAGAGGGAGTTGCTCACTGTTGTAGTGCCTGCTTGAAGTGGGGCCAGTGTTGTTTGCATGTGCATCCAGCAGCTGTCACTTGAGAAATTCAGGGAGCTGGAACATGATGGTGGAAAAGAGAGAGCATTTTTTTCCCCCTCTCTCCTAAATGGAGCTCACCATGATGCAGATCAGGCCCTTAGTGCCTATGGATTTTTCAAGTCTTCCTGTTTTGAGAAGGAAACTTATAATAGTTCTTCCCATGGAAAATGGTAATAATGAAATAATAAATCTGGTAGTACTGTTGCATGAGGCAACTCCTCTTTTCTCCCTACAGAAAAATATAGGAATGTTAATTCCCTCTAACTGAGGTCCTGCAGAGGCCAGTGTTTTTTCTTACTTAAGACCTCTGGCAGGATACCAAAAGGCATGGCTATACATTCTTTTGTTCCCATCAAGAAATTTTCTGTCTTATACCTAGGGAATAACTAAAAAAGTCTTTATTCCTGGGATGGCTAGAGCCCTTGTACTCCACCTCTTTCAGGACTATGTGTGTGTTAAATGCTATTACTGGCAGTGAACAGCTTATCTCCACAATCTACAACTGTTAATAACTATGTGGATGATGAGTAAGGATCCATAGTATTCACCTGAGCATTAAGAAAATGCCAGCAAGATGTATGCAGTGGTACACCTGAGGAAAAGGGCAGTTTACAATGCACATGGGGCTAGGGAATGGTGTGAAGAGTGGTGATATCAAAATCCACTTAGTGAAAGTTTTCAGCAATGGAGCAGAGTGTGGGAGGAACATACCTAATTAGGAGGTGTTCACCTGTCTTGATGCTGAAGGAAGGCTGCGGTCCTACTTCTAGCATCTGAACAACAATACCAGATTGTGCTGTTGACATACCCCTAGGGGTCTTTAGGAAGTACAATAGCTTGAATAACTTAGTGAGATGTCAATGTGAAGTCTGCTCTGCATACCGGGAAATCATCTGCTTTACTGGAGTGTATTTTAGCATTTCTGCTTACTGTTTTCTGATGTTGCATTTACTTCTGTGAGGTGAGTTAGGGGTTGGAGGTGTTGCATGAGGAGGGGATGGGGTGAGAGGGGCTGTGACTTTAGGGGCAGCTTTGTTTCTTGGCAAAATATCACTATCTTGTCAATTGTCTTAAATCCAAATACCAAACCTTGGAGTGGTGTCTACCTTTAAACCCATTTGCCACATGTGGTTATGGACTTTTGGATTTGGATTTGAGGCAGAAAGCAGTGCAGTGAAAGGTCTGAAACGTTCTAAGGCACGTAAGGATTGAACTTTTTTTTTAAAGGATCAGTTATAGCAATGTGTTTAATACCATACAGTCAAAGGAGCGAATTAGGTCTTTGCTGCAGTGGGTCCTAAGAACAATTTAAACTTGACTATAGTCAGAGAAAGCTGAATTGCAACTAAAGAGATCTGGCTTTATTTATTTATTTTTTTTTAAAGTCCTCAAAATATTTTTAATGAAATATGGTTTTGGACAAAGCAGAACTTTTCACAAACAGATATTTCTCTTAAATTATTGGGGTTTCAGATCTTTAGTGAAAACCTAAACATTTTTAAAGAGAGAGCCCTGACAAAAACAGATTGTTTTCAGCAAAATATTTTGCTGAAAACAAATTAATTCTTGACTCTGATACTGAACTGACTTCTTTGGTCAGCATGGATAGAACCAAATTCTGTAAGAATAATGAAGTGTGTAATTTTCCATAGGTTAGGGCACAGGCTGAGCATTTTGTTAAAGAATAATCTCTACCTCAAGCACCACATGCCTTTTTAACAAACCCTACTCTTGCAGTTTTGATTCATACTCACAATGACAAATAATTGGTTTCAATACAATCAAGGGTTCATCTCGATTTACTTACATTTTAAGCTCTCTAGGGCAGTGGGTGTCCCTTGCCCAATGTTTGTACAGCACCTAGCACTGTGCAGTTCTGGTTCTACTGCAGTGCAAATGACAGGTCACATCTGTTTGCATAAACATATCTGCAAAACAGTTTGGCCACTAATGTTTTAATTAAAACAATAAATACAAGTTTGGCGGTGTAAGTGGTGCAAAGAAAAACCATTAAACAAGAAGGTGCCAGTTACATAAAAAGAGAATGCAGCAGGCTTGAGACAGCCTGGTTGTCCAGAATAAAAGGATTAGGAGAAATTGAATGACTTGCTGCCTGTATTAGATTAACAGCTGAACGGTTTGAGGGGGAAAATTGCTCCACTGCAGATAGGAAGAGTAAGAGAAAAATATAAGTTAGATCTGTAGCTGCTAGGCTGTGGTAAAGGCCAGTGTAGCTGCCAGTAGCAGTATTTCATTAGCTATCTCTAAAGGTTCGTGGGAGCCTGGGTGCTGAATG